ACATTTGGGTTTCTTTTATACCTCAGGTTGAAAATATTGATGAAGTTAATTGAAACTTCAAAAGTTGTACTTTAACACCTGTCATGTGTGCACATACAAGAAAAGTTAAAGAATTGAATTGTAGAAATATCGCAAATCAAGTTACATTCGTGAGTTTTTCTCAGACCTAGAAGTTCTTTAAACTTAGAACTTGCCCAGACATAGAATTAATCCACAAGACCTAGAACTTCATTTGATCTAGAATTTGCTCACATTCAGGACCTTACTTAGTATAACACCTAAAACTTAATCAGACCTAGAACTAACTACATGCAATTAAGACCCAAAACTTGTTAAGACTGAGAACCTAAAGTGTAATGTAGAGCCACGGGAGGGGGGGGGGGTTCACTGTATATAAACCTTGGCGGGGATCCTCAGTGCACATTGGGTACTAGACTGGACATTTGGTATGGTATTGGTCCTATATTTAGGCATAGGCATTTGGTATGGCTTTTAGGGTCATTGAAATTTGACAGGTTGGTATGGGGACATATCGATATTGAGCCGGCCCCGGGTTTAGAGCAATGGTAGGGCTGTTCTTGGAGTTCACAGTTTGATTCCCTGTGAAATATACACTTGTTAGACTATCCTGTTACACCTGTATTGTTTGAGAAATACTTTTGGATTATCTAATTAAAAGCCAATTATAAAGCAATTACAGGTGAATCTTTAGTATCAGTTTTCAAACTTTCATTAAGTATGGATTAATCCTGTAATATAAAAAACTTAAAAAACAATGAGTCAAACATTTGTCTTAATTGGATGGATTAATAACAGGTTAATCAATATTCAAATGAATTTTAAATTAAATAGTTTTTTGCACTTATTTAACTGTTATATATCTAGAGTTCAGCAATGAACTGGACATTATGGCCTGTTTATTTTTTGTTTTGCTATCACTATAGGGGTTAATTATGATTTTTGAATGTTGTACAAACAAAATTTAATATTTTAATTTATAAACCTGCCAGTCATTGTAAACGTTCCAGCTTATAGTAATCTCATCATATAAAATAGCAGAATAAATACACATTTATCTGAGTTATTGTTATTAAAGGAAAAATTAACTATAGCATTATACTTAATAGAATAACTGGATAAACTTGTTCACTTTATGTCAATATCAAACTTTAATCTTAAAATGGTTTTATTTGGTTAGCAAAATAATCAAAATGTGACACCAGATAGCCCTAGCAGTCTGATTTTTGTTTCATTGCATTTTGAACAATTTAGGACAATGGCATGTTTTCGTTAAAGTCACTTGAAGTTACTCCAGGCCCGTAGCCAGGAGGGTTCGCAGGGTTCGGGTGAACCCACCCTGGCCAAAGATTCCTCAAAATCATGCAGTTTTTCACCATTTTGAGCACTTCTCAAGTGATTTTAGCCATATTTGGGTCAAAATTGCCAAATGTGAACCCCCCTGGAAATTTTTGAAAACTGAACCCCCCTTGGCAAATCTTGGCTACTCATATTATTAAGTTATTCATTACATTAAAGCTACCTGTTTGTATTGAAATTCTGCTTCATCAAAGTCAACTCACAGTTTTAAAAAATATTTTCCCACAGACATTTGGCTCATTTCTCATTTTTTAAAACATCATGATTTAACTTTAATCAAACACATTAGAACTTGCAATTTCAAAACACATGCTAGGACTTGCTGTTATGTGACCAGACTGTTTCTCTAATCAAATATCTCACAACAAAAGATTTTATTAAATATTTCTTTGTGGATAAGAATTAATCATTATCAAATCTCAAATAACGATCTCAATTCTGAGACGAAATTCACATGACATCTCAAAGTTCCATTTTTAGAATAATTATATCCAGTGCTACCTGCCAGTTTATTGTAAAATTTGCAATCAACATGTATATTTTGATTAACTTAAATTTATACCATATTTAGTTAATGCTAAACCAATTTTGTAAATAGCTGTATAGGTTCGCAGAAACTGTGCCAGAATCTTTGATGGACTTTAGGAACAGTTATTGTCATCTATTGGCCTACTTATTTCAGTTTTGGTATATACAGGTTGAAAACAAAAGAAAACAATGCTAATATGTAATCACATGTATGTACTGCCTTGGGTTGAATTTTCATCATATTGAGATGCGTACATGTTGTCCAGTTTCTCCAAGTTATGTTATGTTTATTTTCTGCCCTTTCCCTGCAATATAACAACTTAAATGTTAATTAAGATTTTATACATGGTTTATATTTTGGTTCATTCTCTCTCATACAGGTGAGTTTCATTAAATAACATACCAAATATCACATAACAGCCATATCTTAATGATTGTGTATCCGTGAAAGAATTAGAAAAATATTATTTTACTTTATCTAAATATATTGTTTTCTACATGTTTGGTATTCATTTTACTGTTTTATGGTACATTTTACCATTGGCTTTCAATTATTCTAGTTGAAAGCCCATGATTTTACCGATATTGCAACATTATGATCATATGTAATAAACATTGTATAGATATTGTACAAATTGTCAATAATATAAATAGAACCAACAAATCAAATATTTTGGCTTGCTTATGCCACTATTGCACCCCACCTTGACTGAAAGCTGGCTATGCCCCCGAGTAGCAATTCCTCTTAATTAATTTCTTAATTTGGTTTTAAGTATTGAAAGTTGATTTAAACTTGAATTTAAGATAAATATGTCTCCCTAAAAGAACCTGTGAATATATATTACCAAGAGCAAGTTATTTGCCGTAATGTTTACATTGTATCAATGGCATTATTTATTTCTGTTGCATTTTCACTAATAAGAGCAGTTTCTGACACCAGAGTGGTTGGTATGGAGTCAAATTATTCATATATTTAGACAATGATTCTAAATGTCTTATTTGCTTTCACTTTAATGTATTTGATTATAGCACATTTTTCTTGCAGACCTATTCCTCATATAAACTACTCAACAATGTTATATGTCAACATTTTCCTTGTTGGTGATAATCCTAAGAAAGAACAATAAGAATCTTGTTGGTGTTTTCACCATGGATTAATTCTAGAAACGTTGGCATGCAGTTGTTTGTGTGGAAGGAGAAATGTTGAAATGATTTATGTTTAGGCACTTTGATATTTGCAGACTTTGGTTTGGTTGGTTCATTGATTGTTAGATTCTGGTCTGGATTATGGGGAATGTGATCATTGTTATATTATGATTATATAGTGATGATATTGTAATAAGAATGCAATATTGTGATATGGAGACTTTTGATCAATTGTGGCCTGTTTCATCAGGTGGTCTGGTGCTATTCCATTGTAGACAATATTTAGACAACATATGATGAATGCAGGTCTACTTTGGAAACATCCTGAACCACAGAATGATTATTAAGATGTATGGTCAAAAGCGATTCTTTCCCTCGCTTAGTGCCATGGTGATAGGGCCTTTGTAGCATCTATGACCCACTTTTAGCTGTCATTTACATGGGATCATGTGTCCATTCCTTCGCTTGCCTGACCCTCTTATGACCTGGCATGGGGGATAACATGTACCGTGTGCTTATATTGTGTCTCATTGTGTCACTTGCCACAGTTGCATAATGGCAATCCCATGTCTTCATGCAGACTACATCACTTGGAAGCTAGTAATCCCCCAAAACATGTGTGTTGTATCCTAATCCTCAAATACAAAACCAGGAAATATTCATGTACTGGTAGTTAAGCAACTATATCAGCTCTTAAGTTGCCATATTTTGTACATTTTTCTATTTTCCAACAAAATTTGGTAAAATTGAAATGTTTTATATATTTTCAAAATTGACAATATTTGTCAAAAATCCTCAAAGTGTATTTGTAAACATAAGAGATTACATTATATGGAACAAAATTCCTCAATTCACTAACCTCAAATAGCATAATTATTTCTTACTAATGAACAGTTTAAGAAATAACAGATAACAGTTTAAAAATGTGTCAAATTAGTTTTAAAATGATATGTTGAGAGAGAGAAAATTGATGAGTGATATCATAATGTATATGTACGTCATGTACTTGCATTTTGTATATGGCAAAATAATGATTTCACTTAACCTAAAGTTTATTCAAAGTTAAGTTTGTAAGTTGCTCCTTCAGAGCCAATACTTGGTAGGTAAGCAGTATATCAAGTATTGTGTCCCAATGGTCATATTTCAGATATAACAGTAAAGAGAATGGAATTAGCAAGGAAAATAGTACACAGATATGTAGTTAATATGCTAACTTGTATTAAATGCAAGAAAATGCGCACTTTAATCTATCTTTTGAGAGAAATTGAGTAAAATTAGTGAGAACATATGACTTTTTAACATTAGGGCCAATCTTTTATATCAATATGTTTCTCTAGATACCTTTATAAGTGGAGATTATGGGATTGTTGAATCGAGCATTTTGACTTCAAGTGATGTGAATTATAACATTATTTTTGGAGAGAGATTATAGTGATCTTGAATTAGTTACAGTGGACTTTATGCTATTATGAGAATATCTCAATCCTGGAACAGAAACTATATCTAATAAAGTCTAATTCTGTAAATCTGGAAAGTTTAGTTATTCAACAAGTCGTTATTTTACAAAAATATTCTTGCAAAGTGCCACAAGACTGTTCTTCAGTGATTGGTCCAAAGTTTGAATTAATTTACATATGATAGGATAAGTTGACTTTGCAGCTGTCTTTTGGATTTACTTCTGCTGGGAAGGTGCCTTATCCAATTTGTACTTATACATATGGTAGGGCCCATATTAATTAAAACTGGCCCTGGTATGCATAACCAACATACTCTACAGTTAGCATTTGTGGTTTGGTACATTCTGATTGGCTGAGCTGATTAATGAAACTCCATATAAATTATACACACAACATGGCCATTTCATTTTAAGCCTGGCCCTGATTGTAAACATTTAATTGGATTGTAAGAAAACTACCAGATATTTTGGTGAGAGTCAGATTGGCTTGAGATGTCAAAGTGGATGTTACTGAAAGTGTGAGGAGAAAACAAGCATTTTATTCAACATTAAGTGAAACTATTTGTTAAAATATTGGATGTATAACTATAGACAAAAATAACAGGACGTTAAATAAAAAATAGGATTTTTACACCTGGAGTACTTCATCATAAATGGTAAGTCTTATATCTTAAATATATTTTTTTATCTGTTTTAATTTTGATATAATTGTTGTATTTGAAATTTGAATTAAAGTTATAAATATATACATGTAGAGGTTTGTAATTGTCGGGTTATATATTTGCTGGGGCAGTTTGAACATATTTGATAACTTAGTTAAGACAAATATAGTTTGTTAATATTAGGGTTTGTTAATTGCTCCTAAGTGAAAAAAAATCCCCAAGGCATATGTTATGTAATATGATTGAGAGGTCAAAATCAAAAAAAAAGTTCATAAAAAATAACGAAAACACTGTATATGCTAATATTGTGGGAAATTTTGTGAGATTGTCAAGAACTTGACAGGTCTAAGTAAAGAAGTTTGAGTTTATAAATGACAAGTTATTATTATAAGATATATGGTTTAAATCGAAAAAGTCAAACAGATTTCTGAAAAAGGAAGACTTTGTACAATATAAGTGATAGTTAAAAACTGCCAGATTTAAACATTTTTGACAAGCAAATGTACAAATTGACTGTTATGCCATCTATAAGTCAGATCTTCTTTCAGAACTTTATATCTCAATACGGCTACCCTGAATATTGATCATTTTTTTTGTATTTTGTCAGTATTTCTATCAATTAGGTTTCATACAATGATAAATCATAATTTAGACTTTTATGTATTGTGAGATTGCATATTTGGCTATATTTACTCAGATACAGATGGTAGGAAGTAGGTATTGGATCGTATTGGGATAAGTAAATCAGCAAACATTCATCCAGATATCTCCTAAGCGTGTTAGTTTGTCAATGTATTGACAAGTCATTTACTAAGAAACCATAAAATCTCCAAATGAAGATAAATTTCTATGTCTCTCAATCCTGAAAATTCCCGATGGGAAAACCTTGATGATAAATGACTTAACAAACACGGCTTCTTCCAATATTAGTTTGTTGTTTTGAAATGTCTCTATTGTAAATATAGAAGATACCAGATAATTTTTCATGATATTTTTTTTTATTTAGGATAATCTGTTTTGGTACATGGTTTTGAATACTTCAGTATTAAGTTGTCATGTATTAAGTTGTCATGTTTCTTCCAATATTAGTTTGTTGTTTTGAAATGTCTCTATTGTAAATATAGAAGATACCAGATAATTTTTCATGATATTTTTTTTTATTTAGGATAATCTGTTTTGGTACATGGTTTTGAATACTTCATTATTAAGTTGTCATGTTTTTAGAAAAGTGAGCCTAATTCTGCTTCTCTAATTCTGAAAATTAGCTCTCACTTTAAACCAAAGTTCAGCAATACATTTTCCCATAATTATAGTTTTCACACTTAGCTGAGTTTAACTGTTTTTATTTCTATGCTTGCTGGGGACATTTATGTTAGTATTGAAAAGTGAATGTACATTCCATAGTACTAAATAGGTGCATTTATTTGACCATGCACTTTAAAGAGTGTCAAATCCTGAGGCTTTAAGGTTAGATTTTGGTTTGTTTGTTAAATTAATCAGTGATCTCCCTTATATTTCCCCCAAGAATTGATGTCCAGTTTACATGGAAATGGGGAAGGTTTAATTTACTGTAATAGAGAAACATTCCAATGTTTCCCCCTGGGGTAGTTCATGAAAACGAATGTCAGTGATACATGTTATATGTCCCTTGAATAAATGATACATTGTTATAAGGAGACCTCTGGTTTCCAAATCAAAATATTCAATTTCAATCACTGTATTTTCTATTTTCTATTAATTTAAAGAATTCTTGATTCTTACTCACTTTATAGATTTCATGTTTTATAAACTTCATCGATATTAGTATGTACCAGTCCTGCACTGTGTTGCTTTTTGCTTTTCTTCAAAAGCTGTGCCCAATAAGGCATTCTGCGGAGAGAGTACTTGAATATTCTGCTGAATAAATCCTGAAGTGTATGAATCACGCGTGGATAGCCTCAAAGACTGGTTCCCATTCAGACATTCCATCAACTTAACATATTGCTATATCATTATAATGAATGCTAGAATAATTCTAAATATAAACACAGTTTTCAGAATAGCAAAATGTTTATCCCATATTTATTAAAAATGAGGAAAATTGCAAATTTGTTCTGCGCCTTGTAGGGTGAATTGTGGAAATATGTGAATGTGTCAAATTTAAAGTTTTTCTACCTGAAATCCTACACTCTGGCGCTCTTAAACTATCAATTAGGACGACACTTAAGATGTACCAAAAATGAAATTGAATGATACGGTTCTTATTTTTTATGTCTTTTTCAAAGTTTGTTTTGCCGCTGCTTGAGCCAATTTAGTTTTATTGACCTAAGGCATTTATAAAATATATAATTATTTGTTTAGAAAGCTACTGAAGATATGAAATATAAGATGTAGGATCTATAATTTAATGATGTATTTTTAAGACAATATTAAAGAAGTGAGTTTAGGTGTCCAAATGTTAAGAAAACACCTAAAATAAGAGACTGGTACTTAAACTAGTTCCAGACATGTGCTGGGTTGATATTCAGAGATAAAAATCAGGTATGTAAAAATAAGAAGAAGAAATGTTAAAATAAAAATATTTAATATGTTAGGATTTGAAGCAATTATGTTAAAACGAATCATTTCTTTATCAATAAAACTTTCTACAGAAATATAAATTCAAACAATGTCTGAAAATGTCTGGAAATAGCAAAGAAAGTGTGTGTCACCTGTATGTTAAGTGATATCAGATATCTGTTGTTAGATAAGTTTGCAAAGTTTTCATCAAATCACAATCAGAATATGATGATGAAATATCAATGACATGTCTCTTTTTGAAAGATGCTAATTAACAGTAAAAAAGGGTTCTTTGTTTCATACCATTTGTTATTGTATAAAATATGAAATCTTCGTTTTCATAAGGATTTAGTTTTTAGTATGAACAATATTATTTTAATGATATAAGTTGTATAATTCTGGGATTATTGTAAGAATATTATTTTGATAAGCTCTTGTCAGACAAGACAAACAATGACAAACTAAGCAAACAAGCATGGCAAACATACAGGTGTTTAAAAAATCAGGAAGTTTGTGACATTCTGGCAAAGTTTGGCACATTTTTGTCACTTTAAATGGCAGGATGAGCAATATCAGAATTACTTTGTTTCTGTATACATCAACGTGCACTGTACACATAAATTAATCATACATGGACGGCATTGCAGACTTAGTTCATTAATATTTCAATGACTGAACACAGATGCTTTTGAGTGCCAGGTTTACAATACATTTAACCTCAGTGACAAACCTCTAGTTTATAGAAAAATTCTTTGTAATACAATGTTTGTTAATTGTACATACTGGATGGTCAAACTCTTTGTTTTGATGTGATTATGATATGATTTTACATGCTTTTTGTAATAATTGTGATATTTCTAATGTATTTTCAGAAAAGTACTAACAGTCGCAGTTCAACGGAAATAAGACGAAACAAGGCCTAATAACACTTGATGATAACGAAAGATAACTCTTGCGATCTTAGGTGATATTGAATGAAATTCCTTTGAATTACCTGATAAGCGGAGATAATATCCTCGATATTGAAAAGCCACTTTACTCTGAAGGTGCATATTTGGTGGATAATCTCAACTGTGAAGAGCTAATATTACTACTTCTGATAAATCTAAACTCATTAACTCAATGAATTCCATTTGAATATCTACATTTATATTTACACTGCAAATGACTCAACAATAGCCGAAATGGAGTCAAGAAATAAGATGCTATTGGTAATCTGGACTTTGGTGTCTGTAGTGTGTGTCTACGGACAAAGACAAGAGCTTAAATATACAATTGAAGAAGAACTTTCTGCCAATACATTCGTAGCTGATATCCCCCTTGATGCAAGGCTTCAGTCTGAATTTGCGTCAACAGTTTTTGCTACACTCAGCTATAACTTCTTAAGCCAGGAAAGTCAAGCTTCTTTGTTATTTAAGATTGATTCAAATAGTGGAATCATCAAAACCACCCTCCCGATTGATCGTGATGACCTTTGTCTGAATGTCGCCGAGTGTCTAGTTGAACTTGATGTTGCTGTCCATGACCCATTTATGACACATTTTGAGATCATCAAAGTTGTCATAGAAATTGTAGACATTAACGATAACGACCCGGAATTCCCACAAAGTGAGATCAACGTGAAACTATCAGAATCTGTGCCGATAAATCACACATTTCTGACGCAGGAAGCTTTTGATATTGATGAAGGTAACAACTCTGTTCAGAACTATGAATTGATTTCCCCAACAGGCACATTTGGACTTGATATCATAACAGGCTCTGATGGATCAAAAGAGTTAGCGATTGTTGTGAGGAAAGAACTAGATCGGGAAAAAACTGATTTTTACCAGGTTGAGATTGTTGCTAAAGATGGCGGAAGTCCTCCAAGAAGTGGAGCTGTTAGAATCAATATCTCCATAGCTGATATTAACGATCACACACCACGATTTGGACAAGCTAACTACAAGGTATCCATCCCAGAGAATACTGAACCCAATACATCCATCATACAAGTCACTGCAACTGATGACGACATTGGCTCTAATGGTGACATCAGGTATTCCATCAGTAATCTTGCAACAAGAACTATCAAGTCCTTATTTGGTATCAACGCTACCTCTGGTGAGCTGTATGTGAAGTCTACACTTGATTACGAGGTTGGTAGTGTCCACCATATTCCCGTAGATGCAACAGACCAGAGCCATGACCCACGTGTTGCCCATACTACTATAGTCTTAACAGTCCTTGACTTGAATGACAACCGACCTGAGATCAAACTTAAAGTTCTGTCTGGTGAAGCTCAAGTGTCAGAGGGGTCAGAACCTGGTGCCTTTGTTGCCCTAGTCTCCGTAAAAGACAAAGATGACCCTGAAGGAATCAATGGCCAGGTCAAGTGTAACCTCAGCTCAGATAACTTTGCTCTCAATGCCTTTACTGAAAAGGAGTTCAAGGTTGTCAGCACAACTAAGTTTGATAGAGAACGCCAAGACACGTACAACGTTACAATCACATGTTCTGATATGGGTGTACCACAGCAGTTCAGTGAGAACAATTTCATTGTAAATATCCTTGATGAAAATGACCACACCCCACAGTTTGAAACTCCATCTATATCTGCAAATATTGTTGAAAACAACAGAATGGGGGCCTACATAATCCAAGTAACTGCCCACGATGATGACATTTTGGACAATGGAAAAATTGAATACAAACTCCATTCTGATGCTGGTGAGCTTTTCAGGATTAATGCTGATAATGGTAAAATATATGCCAACGTGAAGTTTAATCGTGAAACCACTGACAGAATTCAGTTCCGTGTGATTGCCTCAGACAAGGGTGTCCCTCCAAGAAGCGCCATCACATATGTCACCCTTCGCATTCTTGACCTCAATGATGAGCCCCCAATATTTTTCCAGAATACCTATCCGTTCAATGTGACTGAGGGTGAAGATGTTGACACATTTGTTGGCTCAGTAAGTGCCTTTGATGCTGATTTTGGTGACAATGCCAAGTTCCGTTATGCCCTTGATCAGAGCACTGACGCTAAACATTTTAAAATCAATGCAGAAACTGGCAGAATCACAACCTCAAAAGTGATTGACAGAGAGCGCAAAAGTATGTTCCATTTTCTGATAATGGCATATGACCAGGGGTCACCACAGCAAAGTGGATCTGCATCCGTGATTGTATCCATACTTGACATTAATGACAATCCTCCTATCATCACATTCCCATCCGCATACAACAACACAGTGTATATCAACCCATCCACTCCAGTAGGAAACCTCATCACTACAGTAGAGGCAGAAGACCGAGACTTTGGGAACAATGCCAAGATGACCTTTCTCTTCCTGGATGGGGACAGGGAGGGTTTGTTCCGTATAGACACACAGACAGGCGACATCTACCTTCAAGAGGATCTCTCCACTTCCGATGAAACCAGCCATAAATTGAAGATCATGGTCGCTGATCATGGCCCAGATCAGAAAAAATCCCGAAGTCATTTATCTGTGATCATATCCGACTCTACAACATTTATTGGGTACGGTTCCCCTGCCACTGGAACAAAGAAACAAGCCATGGGTCTCTCACAGCAGAATATCATCATTGTCATCTGTCTTGCCGCTGCAACAATCATCCTCTCAGTCATCCTCATCATCGCAATATTCAGAATGAGGCGACGAAGCAAACCTAAAGGACGTCGCTACAATGTGCGTCTTCAGAACGACAAGGCTGATGATAAGAAGAAACTTGCTGGGGGAGTTGGTAAAGGGAGCCCGAATGGATCTCCTACAAATGGGAAGCCAGTTATTGACTCCAGGGGACCAGCAGATGGGAAAAATACAAGTTTCAGTCTTGAGACAGAGACCCCGAATTCTACCATGACAGGCATGAATGGAACTAGTCTAAGCCATGACAAGAAAATGGTAAGAACACCTTATTTTATTGAAAATATGAATAGATGTGTTTGTATAATTTCAAACAAGATACAGCTTTTGATAAATTGTATTTCAGCGAAATTCTTCAGAAAATCTACAAAAGTATGTATTTGAAGTGGAAACATCATTTCAGGTTGATCGATATCCCAATGAGTGATGCTGATTATTTGCATGAAGTCCATGAATATATTTTAGGTATTTAAGATATTGAGATCTCCAATAGGTACCTGAGGGATTGACAGTGATGTATTATGTAAAAACCTGCCTCGCCCAGGGGAATGGATGTTGTCTAAATTCACATGTAAACTTATACACAAACATTGCCTTGTAATATATGTCTTAATAATATTTTGCCTTGAAGGCACTCCCTTTGACATATTCCAAGAAATATGAAACATTAATGACCATTTGCAGTATTTCATCAAATCTTTTCATTATAGCTTGGTTCAACTTGCTTTTTATATGGTCAAATATGTTTATGAGAATGCCTTGTTTCAGTATTTTGGGTCTTTGCGGTAGAAGCTCAGGAATCTTTAGTGGAAGTGTGAATTAAAAACAAATCTTTACAAGAACTGTTGTGCTTAAAATGAAAATCATGTCTTTATTTAAATACTCATGATCAAAGGTTCTGACTTGACTGTGACTTCATATATAAATCTACTCTATTTTAACAAAGTGCTTTCAAGCTTAAGACTAACTCAGGTGTATGCATGTACAGGGAGTTGAATAGATCTAATTTGTTTTTAGGATTGATTCGTATGAAATCACAAATCTCCCGCTATTGAGTGTAGGAAGGTAAAGATTTGGAGTTTGATTTCAAAGACTTCAGGAAACGAACCTTTTTAAAATGTCAAGGCTTGTTATGGGTTATTCTGTCAGTCACGAAACATTCGTGAAAAATCAAAATAATCTTGTCATTCTTATAATCGTCTTGAAAATACATGTATCTTATTTTAAATGATCAATTTAAATCATAAATCAATCTGTCATTTTGGGTCATTCATTGAGGGGAATTGAACCTATGAATATAGTGTTGTAGATTGGAAAGCTGTTATAATGTTGGAATAGGAATCAATTGAATATTTTGCTATCTTCTTGGTAATATCAAGGTAATCTCTTAAGCCACCATGAAACCAATTTGTCCCTATAATTTTGTTATTTCAGTATTCGATACAATTTCCTATATACCCAAGTACATATTTGCAGAGCCATTTCAATTATAGAAGCTATGGCATTAATCCACTATTGTGCATGCTGGATAAATCTGAAAATTTCCAATTTATGAATGCCGGTAGAATTGCATTAAACAGCTAAATTCAGATTATGGTATCTTTCAAAGGCTCCTGTTGTTTCACTGGGTAATAACAATATTTTCAAATGAAACTCATTAGAAGTGGAATTGGTATCAATGGCCAAATCTTATATCAACAGTTACGTATCAATGGAGGATTTATCCACTCTTGTAGAATGCATTGTAATTTAAACGAAACATATGAGATTTAAAAACCACACAGGACTCTGTTTCCGATGCCTTTTCAGTAAATATTAATTCTAAATTCTTGATCTGTACTGTTATAATCTAATGTGAAGCCATATCCTGATAAACCAATGTTATTCTTAATATTTAAGAACTTCCGTCTACTGGTTTTTGAGAGTTGGATTAAGGTATGGAGAAATGGGATTAGCCTTTTGATATTATTACTAGTGATGTAACGAACAAGTTCAAATATTTCAATCCTGTTCAAAATCTTCAGGTTGAAGAACTCAAAACTCAATATTCCAAGATTGTAAATGATGAATTATCAATTTAAAGAGTCGTGTCAAATTGTATATATGGCTTCTTTTCATTAATATCTTATCATTGCGAAATTTCTCAATATAGCTTCATCTGAGAAAATTCCACCATGATGTTTTCAGCGTGGTACATGCATATGGGGAATTTCTTAGAAGAGTAATTTGAAATAATATGAAATTCCAACTATTATGGGAGTCGAAATGATTGAATGTTCGATGGTTATGCTTCCGTCTTTATCAAAATTGACAATTTCATTTCATGGTCCATTGGGTTTGTCATGTTAACGGATAGCAGATGATTGAAATACATCAGAACATATTTCTTATTGTTAATGAGTGGAATCAACATCTTGTACAAAATAACTATTTTCTTAGGGCATAACACTTCACCATAATTCTACCTTCCCACTTGGACCACTTGAAAATCACAAATCACAATTTCAAAGATGTTTAGCACAAGAAAAGTGAGGATTTACTCGTCAAGTACTCTTCACATTGAAATACAAAATTCTTGTAAAATCAATCTGTTTTTTATTCCTTTATACTAAATTAAATTTTTTAATGAAGCATTTCAGCGTGAAATTCAATTGTCGGATTCTTTGAAAATATCTTCAATGAAAATTAAATCAAATCAAAAACGCGTAAATTCTAATTGAGTCACATGTTTTTTCTCTGCATTCATAATACTTGAAGTAATTCAGGGGATTTTACCTGTTTAACAAACTGGAATAATTTTAGTTTTAAAGGACCCTCTTTTGTTACTGTACTATTTCATATAAACTGCTGTCTAAAATTGAAACTTATGAATTAACCTTCTTTTTGATAACAACATACATTTGTATTGTAAATTTTCCTGGGGGGTTTGTGTCCGTCTGCTCAAGTACACAGTCTGCTGTAAAATGGCCGCCATTGAGCAGACGATCTGATCAGACACACAACGGCATTCATTCCACATTTCACACTTTCTACACTTAACTTTTGTCTGAGGGCCATTCTGTTTTACAACTGATTTCACCAACATAAAGTAATATACTCCTCAATGAACTAAATCTTTTCACCAAGATTCATTTTAATGAGTTTGAGTGTCTTGCTGAGTTTTCATCTTTTTCTAACAGGATTCTAAATAGAAGAACTTGACATTATTAAATACAGTTCAACTGGTTTGTTTGTTCCGTCAATTGCACCCACCGAAATCCACATCATTGGATTCACTGACACCGTCATTAAGCCCTTAGATGTCTTAATAGCTCAATGGGACACCAGTTCTGAAAGAAAAGCAATAAAAGTTGTGATGAATTCCGCAATAGGCCAATAAATTCATAGCCTCTGGAAGACGCATCAGGAATAAAGTGTTCCTCAATATTGTCTTTAGTCTCGGGTGAGAAACCTGCGACTTTGATTGACATAATTGGCAGTGATTTGAATCTCAAAGTGTTTTTTGCAATAATGCTCAAAGGATCATTAAAAGAATGTGACATAGAGAATCAATAAGACTCTATATATCCCTGTCAAAAAAGACAGTGTTTGAATGATAAATCCTGCATTAACCTTTAAAGGTGACCCAAAGATGCCCAGTTCAGTATTGAAGATTTATCAAATATGTACATGGAGGCACATATATAATACTGCCATTTTTAGTTCTTTTTATTTTATGAGAAAAAAATATTGTAATAAATGCATATGTTCATTTTTATGATCTTTAAATAAAAGGAAATTGTTATTGCAATTCACTCCAGACCAGGGTTAGATTTGGAAAGTCTGTTAGTTAGAAAAAATGTCCACCATCACTTTTATAGAATTCATATTTTGTGTGCTCATAATGACAATCTAACTCCTGTATTTGTTTTGACCATAGAGAAATATTTGCAGAAATTCCACTGTATTTGGAACTATTTGTTTTGGCATTAGAGCCGACTTAGGGCATCCTTGGACTATTTTCTTAAGGGATTTCTCTGACAAACATCATATCCTGTGCAATCATATATCGAAATGAATTACAAATTAATTTTGAATATTGTGATTTGATTTTATCCCAAATTTATAACCATTCAATATTACCACTCCCCAATAAATATACAGTGTGTACTTTTTAGCCTATTTTGAAGACAAGTTTAAGTTGCAACAGATTCAAAACAGTCAAGAGTTGACTCATATAATTTTTTGCATAATATTATGAAGATGATCATAAGAAGAATTTTCCCAGGGTTATCAATTATCTAATGGTCTATGAGACCAGACTCGTGGAATAATCTCATTTCTATTTTATCATATATGTTTAATTGGAACTGAATACCTCTCTGTCACCCCACCTTCCCCAGCTGTGCACAAGTTTATAGTGCACTTTATCATAAAATTACAAACTTTATTCAAGAGATTATCATTAACTTTGTCAATATTAATTAATATACTTTCATTTGTTTAACGCTCATTTAGTTTTAGCTTCAAAAAGTCTGTCATTATCTGCTATACTTTCATTTATCAAAAAGCACATCTTGGAATTATTACTAGATTCCCTTTTCAAAATCATTTGTTCATTCATTTTGTGACGAAAAGCTACTTTGTTTAATTTCTGGGTTTAATTTTTTTTCATTTTGAGAAAATTTGAGTATTCCCCATTGGTAGTCCAGGTGTTCAATTAAGTCCATTTATATAAATATTATAAATGTGCAATTAGATTGTGCAGTTTGATTTGATTGTTTTTGAAATGTGTTTATTTTACCGACTTTGTACATTTTCAATTCTGTATGTAAGAATTTAGAATTATATAATTATAAATATTTCACCTGTTGTCGAACAAATTAATCTCAAAATTAAAGAGATTTTTCTATTTTCTTGTCTTCTTATATTAGGCCTATAAAAAGATTAATTAAGTAAACCTAAACTACAGTATGTGAATACTGACTTCCTTGGACATTAACGATTTTTGTGGTGCCGTGATTTAATTTGACTTTCACATTAATTTGTCAAGTTAAGAATTAGCTATTTATTATGAACACTGGCTATTGTTGGAACATGGTATGGTTTGTCCATGTTCCATGTTAGACAGTAATTATGGTCCTTAATTAGCAAGTTCAACATATAGATCTGACCCCAGTCTGTGTAAATGGTCCTCTGTCAGGTAATCTAGTCCTATGTAGGAGACAATTGGAAGTTTGAGCTTAGAAAGGTGTTAATTACAACTGTAGAGGTGTTGT